TTATTTCAGAAGTATTACAAGTATGGCTTTGAAACTTACCATACTTGTTCACCATCATAACCTCCATCTACAGACAAGAGTACATAACTCTGTCAAGGTTTTTGACAGAATTATGGCCCTTTTTTGACTTAGAAAGTGTATTGAGCTTGGTTAAGTTTTTTGTACCACCTCACTTTATTTCAAAACCATTGGAGGTATTGCTTTGAAACTGACCATACTTGTTTACCATCACGACCTTCATCAACAGACAAGAGGACATAACTCTGTCAAGGTTTTTGACAGAATTATGCCCCTTTTTGACTTAGAAAATACATTGAATATGGGTAAAATCCACTTATTGCCTTAACCCTTTGAGATATTGCTTTGAAACTTTTAATGCTATTTCACATCATTACCCCCATCTGTACGCAAGAGAAGGTAACTGTCAAGGATTTGTTTTAAAAATTAAGGCCTTTTATCGACTTAGAATCTTGGTTAAGTTTTTAGTACCAGTCCACTTTTTGACTGAACTGTTTGAGATATTAATTTGAAAGTTGGAATACTTGTTTACAATCATGATTCCCAAACATGTCCAGGAGAAGGTAATTCTGTCAAAGATTTTATTTGAATTATGGCCCTTAACTGTCAATGTTTTGTATTATAGGCAAGCACTAAAAAAGTCGAGCGCGCTGTCTTACGGACAGCTCTTGTTGTCAGAGTTATGGCCCTTAAATAATTTTTATTTTTAAAGTTTGTCCGGACTACTTCTCTTATACCACTAATGCAATTTCAATGAAACTTTACAGGAGTGATCTGTACCTCAAGTCACGGGTTTTCCGGTTGAATGATTTTTGGCCGAGTTATGGCCCTTTGTTTAAAAGGTGTTTTTTTCTGTGTGTTGCCAGATACACAAAAGCTTGTCCGGACTACTCCTCATAAACTACTGGTGCAATTGTATCCAAACTTTAAAGGAATCATCAGTACCAAGTCTAGTTGTGCATATTGTCAGCATTATCTGGTTCAATGATTTTTGTCAGAGTTATGGCCGTTTTACAATTTTTATTTTTAAAGTTTGTCCGGACTACTTCTCTTATACCACTAATGCAATTTCAATGAAACTTTACAGGATTGATCTGTAGCGCAAATCCTTGCGCATTTTAGCGCAAATCCTTGCGCATTTTAGCGCAAATCCTTGCGCATTTTGCATGGGTTTTCCGGTTGAATGATTTTTGGCCGAGTTATGGCCCTTTGACAAAAAGGTGTTTTTTTCTGTGTGTTTCCAGATACACAAAAGCTTGTCCGGACTACTCCGCATAAACTATTGGTGCAATTTTATTCAAACTTTACAGGAATGATCAGTACCAAGTCTAGTTGTGCACTGTTCGCCTGTCTGTCCGTCTGTCACAAAACTTGTCCCAACATGAAATTGGCCATCATGAGGTGACACATGTGATCACTGATCGCTCTTGTTTGTTGTAAGGGGCACATAGATATACCAATTAAAGGATTAGTGTCACCATTGCAGTGCTGTTAGGGGATAATCGTTCGTCGTAAGTTGCGTTCTAAATTAGTTTATAAAAACTTGACAAAAATGTAAAATTTCCTGCTTCAAAGTAGATTATTTTAGTAGAGTATTTTAGATTTTTTTTACCGGGACATAAAACATCTCCTGGACACCTCCGGGACAGAGACCTTATTTCAGGGACTGTCCCGGACATCCGGGACATTATGGCATGTATGCCCACCAGTCTCTACCGTATAGATCAGGGCATAGACTTTTCTCTGGATTAATATGTTCAGAACTGAACATGATTTAATTCACGTAAACGTTATTTTATCAAACGCAAAATTAACGTTCTGTTCATAAAAATGTGTCTTCAAAGTCACAGGGACAAGACGCTTTGATTTGATACTATCTGCTACCCCTCCCTCCTCCAGTCCCAGTAACAACCCCAAAAAAATATTATTTAAACTCAATTTCCACATTTACTATTCATAACAACAATAATATGACACTATTACACAATTTTCATTATACCTCTATAGTATTTGTATAACTAATACCAATAGCGGTAGGGGATATTAAGTTGAAGTGTCAGATCAGTTGTTCAAAGTGTCTTTTCCCTGTGTTCATAGTAGGGCATTATAAAAGAGAAAAATCATAGAGACAACTCAATTTACCGGACATTGTGTTTCAAAATATTTTGAAGTCATGAATCTCTAAATAATCTGCAAGGGAACTACAACTGTTGAATGACATGGTTAAGACATTGGAAAACCCCAAGATGTCACTAAAAATAGACACTGCAGCCATGCTTGTTACGAAGAGACCTATATATGGGGTGTAATGGAAATAAACATTATTAACTCAATTAACATAATAAATTATTGATTCTTCATAAATAAAATCATAAAACATATTAACATTTTTGATATTCCATTTGTATTCTGTTCTTTGTAATACAATTTCCTTTTGCTCATCATGAAACCTGTAAACGTTTAATTTACATTTCATGTAGAGTTTCCTCCCTTGGCATAACATGTTTCCTTATATGGTTTTTAGCTCACTTGAGCTAGCTTAGGTTGAGCTTTCAGGATCATTAAATTTCCATCCTCCATTGTCTGTCCACATTTGTTTGTTAACACTCTATTGGTCACATTTTTGCCTCAATCATCATCAAATTTGGTGAGGATGCTTGTCTAGGGAATTGCTAGGATGAGTTTGAACATTGGTCATCTCGGATGAAAAACTAGGTCACAGGAGCTATAAATAGAAAAATCTTTTTTAACTCTAGTGGCTACTGATTTTATCAAAATATCCTTGAATTTGGTCTGCAAGTTTGTTTTGGTGATTTCTAGGTCAAGTTCGAACAGGGGTCACCTTGGGTCAAAAACTAGGTAACACTGCCTAAATATGGGAAAACTTTGTTAACACTTTAGTGGTCACATATAATACTCAATTTTATCGGACTTGGTCAGGATGCTTGTCTTAGTTAATGCTCAGTGAGTTCCATGGGTCAGGTGAGCGTTCTAGGGCCATTTTTGCCCTCTTAATTACTTCTCTCAATACTTGGCTAAAAATTTATTATTAATGAATGAATTGTCATCAAATTTAGACACAACAATCCTAAGGACAAGACCTTTTTGTAGATTAAATTGATAAATACATTCACTCAATCAATGACCTTGAATATTGTGTGATATTTTATAAGTATTAAATTTGTTCTTTACGGAAAAATTTACCGTGGTTGATGTGACATTTAGAAGACAAATTTTACCGGTATTTATTTTTGAGTGACAGGGTGAGCTTTTGTGATCGCTTTTCGTCTGGCGTCCGTCCGTCGTCCGTCCGTAAACTTTTGCTTTAAATGACATCTCCTCATAAACCACTAAGCCAATTTCATTCAAACTTCACAGGAATGTTCCTTTGGTGGTCACCTTTAAAAATTGTTCAAAGAATTTAATTCCACGCAGAACTCTGGTTGCCATGGCAACCGAAAGAAAAAACTTTAAATATCTTCTTTTAAAAAACCATAAGAGCTAGAGCTTAGATATTTAGCATGGAACATCTTCTAGTGAGTGTCTACCAAGTTTGTTCAAATAAAAGCCCTCGGGTCAAAATTGGCCCCGCCCGGGGGGTCATTGATTTTCCCTATATGCATATAGTAAAAACTTAAAAAATCTTCTTTTAAAGAACCCAAAGAGCTAGAGCTAAGATATTTAGCATAAAACATGTTCTAATAGGTGTCTACCAAGTTTGTTCAAATAAAAGATAAAAGCCCTGGGGTCAAAATTGGCCCCGCCCGGGGGGGGGGGTCATTGATTTTCCCTATATGCATATAGTAAAAACTTAAAAAATCTTCTTTTAAAGAACTCAAAGAGCTATGGCTAAGATATTGAGCATCAAACATGTTCTAATAGGTATCTGCAAAGTTTGTTCAAATAAAAGCCCTGGGGTCAAAATTGGCCCCGCCCCGGGGGGGTCATTGATTTTCCCTATATGCATATAGTAAAAACTTAAAAAATCTTCTTTTAAAGAACCAAAAGAGTTAAAGCTAAGATATTTAGCAGGAAATATGTTCTAATAAGTGTCTACCAAGTTTGTTCAAATAAAAGCCCTGGGGTCAAAATTGGCACCGCCCCGGGGGTCATTGATTTTCCTTATATGTGTATAGCAAAAACTTAAAAAATCTTCTTTGAAAAAACCCAAATAGCTATAGTTAATATATTAAGCATGAAACATCTTTTAGTGAATGTCTACAAAGTTTGTTCAAATAAAAGACCTGGGGTCAAAATTGGCCCCGCCCCGGGGGGTCATTGATTTTCCCTATATGCATATAGTAAAAACTTAAAAAATCTTCTTTTAAAGAACTCAAAGAGCTATGGCTAAGATATTTAGCATCAAACATGTTCTAATAGGTGTCTAACAAGTTTGTTCAAATAAAAGCCCTGGGGTCAAAATTGGCACCGCACGGGGGTCTTTGATTTTCCTTATATGTGTATAGCAAAAACTTAAAAAATCTTCTTTGAAAAAACCCTAATAGCTATAGTTAAGATATTAAGCATGAAACATCTTTTAGTGAGTGTCTACAAAGTTTGTTCAAATAAAAGACCTGGGGTCAAAATTGGCCCCGCCCCCCGGGTCATTGATTTTCTTTATATGTGTATAGCAAAAACTTAAAATCTTTTTTGAAAAAACCCAAAGAGCTAGAGTTTAAATATTAAGCATGAAACATCTTCTAGTAAGTGTCCACAAAGTTTGTTCAAATAAAAGCCCTTGGGTCAATACTGGCCCAGCCCCAGGGGTGTCATTGTTTTTAACTATATGTGTATAGTAAAAACATTAAAAAAATCTTCTTTTAAAAAGCCAAATGAGCTAGAGCTTAGATGTTTAGCATGAAACATCTTCTTATGGGTGTCTACCAAGTTTGTGCAAATAAAAGCCCTTTGGTTAAATTGGCCCTGCAACGTTGGGGGGGGGGGGGTTGGGGGGCCTATATTCAGTTGACCTTAGGGCCATAATGGCCCTCTTGTTATGTTAGTCTGTGTCTTACAATTTTTATCAAAATCAATTAAAAGTGTTTTGTGTAAATTCTCGACTTACAGATAGATAAAGGCTAGCCATCATACTGTATTTCTGTGTGTGAATTTTCGGTCTCCGATCGGCAATTATTTTAGGCTAAATAATTCAAAGTGTTGGGCTACTTTTTGGAGTTTTTTACACCAATTTCATTTATAAACAATTGGAAATTAAATTCTTAATGGGAATCGTGAATTTTTCATCATATTTTTGTGAAATTTTAGCATTCTTTAGATTGTGAAAAGACATATTCCGACTTAAATTGCTGTGCAAGATTTTCTCTCATTTCACAAATTTCTCTGAGATTTTGGTGATTTTTTTTGCGAGAAATCGCGGAAAATCGCCCCCAAGAATGATCCTTGTTTAACATTTGTGAAGAAATTTCTCTTTCTCCGACTTTCTAGTCAAAATGAAGACAAAAAATTTTTTCAATATATTTGGTTATTTTGAAGTGTTTTATTAGCTCACCTGTCACAAAGTGACAGGGTGAGCTTTTGTGATCGCTTTTCGTCCAGCGTCCGTCCATCGACCGTCCGTCGTCCGTCCGTAAACTTTTACTTTAAATGACATCTCCTCATAAACCACTAAGCCAATTTCATCCAAACTTCACAGGAATGTTCCTTTGGTGGTCACCTTTAAAAATTGTTCAAAGAATTTAATTCCATGCAGAACTCTGGTTGCCATGGCAACCAAAAGAAAAAACTTTAAATATCTTCTTTTAAAAAACCCAAAGAGCTAGAGCTTAAATAGATATTTGGCATGAACCATCTTCTAGTGAGTGTCTACCAAGTTTGTTCAAATAAAAGCCCTGGGGTCATAATTGGCCCCGCCCCAGGGGGTCATTGATTTTCCCTATATGCATATAGTAAAAACTTAAAAAATCTTCTTTTAAAGAACCCATAGAGCTAGAGCTAAGATATTTAGCATGAAACATGTTCTAATGGGTGTCTACCAAGTTTGTTCAAATAAAAGCCCTGGGGTCAAAATTGGCCCCGCCCCAGGGGGTCATTGATTTTCCCTATATGCATATAGTAAAAACTTAAAAAATCTTCTTTTAAAGATCCCAAAGAGCTAGAGCTAAGATATTTAGCATGAAACATGTTCTAATGGGTGTCTACAAAGTTTGTTCAAATAAAAGCCCTTGGGTCAAAATTGGCCCCGCCCCGGGGGTCATTGATTTTCCTTATATGTGTATAGTAAAAACTTAAAAAATCTTCTTTGAAAAAACCCATATAGCTAGAGTTTAGATATTAAGCATGAAACATCTTCTAGTGAGTGTCTACAAAGTTTGTTCAAATAAAAGCCCTCGGGTCAAAATTGGCCCCGTCCCAGGGGGTCATTGATTTTCCCTATATGCATATAGTAAAAACTTAAAAAATCTTCTTTTAAAGAACCCAAAGAGCTAGAGCTAAGATATTTAGCATGAAACATGTTCTAATGGGTGTCTACTTAGTTTGTTCAAATTAAAGCCCTGGGGTCAAAATTGGCTCCGCCCCGGGGGTCATTGCTTTCCTTATATGTGTATAGCAAAAACTTAAAAAATCTTTTTTGAAAAAACCAAAATAGCTAGAATTAGATATTAAGCATGAAACATCTTCTAATAAGTGTCTACAAAGTATGTTCAAATAAAAGCCCTTGGGTCAAAACTGGCCCCGCCCCAGGAGTGTCATTGTTTTTTAATATATGTGTATAGTAAAAACTTAAAAAATCTCCTTTTAAAAAAATCCAATGAGCTAGAGCTTAGATGTTTAGCATGAAACATCTTCTTATGGGTGTCTACCAAGTTTGTTCAAATAAAAGCCCTTGGGTTAAAATTAACTCTGCCAGGGGGGGGAGAAGGTCATTGTTTTTCCTTATATGTGTATAGCAAAAACTTAACATCATGAAACATCTTCTAATGGGTGTCTTAATTCCAAGTTTGTTCAAATAAAAGCCCTGGGGGTTTAAACTGGCCCCGCTTTGGGGGCCTATATACAGGTGAGCGACCTCAGGGCCATCATGGCCCTCTTGTATATATTTTGATAAAGAATAGATGGCTGCACAATCTACAGAACTAGAAATGGAGGTTTGGCGAAACGTCTTTGATCAAAACAGGAGGAAGCTTAGAATGTATCTCATTCCCGAGGAAATCATTGACCTGGACACAGGGTTCGAATTATTCTCCTTCATTGACAGACGGGATATTATGGTATAACATCAAATACTTTCATGATATGCTTCACTGCACATTGTCTTTATGATTTAAATTCATCTTAATAGTATTTATATTAAATGTCTGCTAAAAATTTCTCCAGGAATGAAAACAAAAAGAAAAAATCCTGAATCATTATTATATTATGTGGACCAAGAATTCCAGGGTCAAGAATAAAGTCTGTCCCTGGGATACTTTTATTGTAAAGAAAGTTTGAAAACATCTTTACAAAGGTATTTTGCTCTTACACCACAAGTGATAGAGCTTAGATAGTATCGGGCATCCAGCTTAGCTAAGCCAACAATATACCTTTTGAAGAAAATATGGCACTAGTGACAATAAAATGTATGTTAAATTATTACATGAACAAGTACACTTTTTTAATGAATAGAATTTTCAAAACGGGTTTTTGTTGTTACGAGGACTAACTTTCATAATATCTATAACAGATGGCTCATACGAAAATTAAATACATGTATTCACATTTGGACATTTTTTTAATATATTAACTTGAATAGGTTAAGGGACAGTGAGTCTTGTGTGTAGTAACTACCTTTTACTTATCCTTTACTTTATTCAAAGGCTATTTTATTGTTAATTCAAAAGCTTGATAAAAGTTATAACCAATAAATTTGATAATATTTAAAGATAATTTTGTATGCGGCTACGAACCGGGACCATGTGATATCTGTATTATAATATAAACAGCTTTAAAATGTATATCTGTAGTAGATTGATTACAAAAGCAAGTACACTGTTACAGGAAGAGACAAATACAACAAAGAAAAACGAAGATATCATAAGAAAAGTAAGATCAAAAGGCGAAGATGCTTACAAAGACTTCAAAATACGTCTTAAAATTACAAATCAAAGCAAGCTTGCAGATCTTTTGACTTACACAGAGAGGGGATTAAGTACAGAGGAGATAGAGCAACAACTTGACAAAATGTTGGAAGAACAAATAACACAAAAAAGAGGTTAAGTGAAAGTTTATATGCACAGAAAAATGTAGGGTCTAGGTGCTTATACTTTGGAGTTACTATTGTCAAGTTATCTTTACATGTGACACATTATGTGCAAATATTTTATTATGTGTTTCAATACTTATTGTCCTCATAATATTGTCCTCATTATTTTTTTTCTTAGACTAGTGAATCAAGGAGAGTTTGGGGTTTTAGCATATCATAATTTATAATCTCCAATTTCGGTGGTAAAAGTGAGCGTCTGACATTAACACAATAATAATCTACATTAAACGTTATTAGTCTCCTCGTTCACTGGAGGAGACCAAAATGGCTTTCCCTCATGGGTTTGAACGCCACAATGCAATGTGTTATGCTCTTTATACCGTCCAAAATCAGGAAACACCATTAACCGTCAGTTAACCTCACAATTCCTGCCATTTATATGGAGAAATGCCACATAGAAATAACCCCAAATTTCCGTACGTCCCTTTATCTGTTAGTCGAAAAAATATGTTGAGATGATTTATTTAATACATGTAATATTTTCATGAAACATGGCTTAAAGTTACATTAAATAAATATGTAAAAATATTTTGCCGTCGGCCTAATAACCAAACATTCTACTGTTTTATTAACCTTATTAACAGTATTGATGTAAATCTCATCAAATATTGTTCATAAATTAAGATTTTAAACGGAAAACCCCACGGTAACACTAAAGTTCTTAAACGAATTTTAACATGCAAATGAAGACTGTAATCAGTTCATGTATGTGCTACGTCACAGTGTTATAGTTGCTATACAGAACACAGCAAATACGAGATTTTCATGTGCATACACACTTTAACCGTTTTAGCTTCATGGTGCACTTGGCATAGCGTTCAGGAAAGAGTAATCATCTCGTAAAAATATTAAATTTGTATAAAAACAACCGTTACAAAGCGTAAATATACCGTTATATTAGGACTGCTACTTATAACCATGTTTGTTGATTTAATATTGATGTATGGATTACCCGAAGGCGGAGTTTCTCATGCAAATTCCGATTTCCCACAATGAGGTCGCAGATGTTTATGCTTATAAAATTCATTTTGGTTGGCTTGACACCATAATAAGATCTGGAGTCGATATGAAACCAAATTAACTAATGAAATTTCGCTATTTCTGTTTTTTAAGAAATTCATTTAAGGTGACAACGGAGTCAATTATCACTGAAAATACCTAAAGTGAGATTTTTTGCTAATTAGATTTATCAACCTTTTCTGAACACATTCGTGATTTAATTTTGGAAGCAGTTAGTCCAAAAATGTGTTTTTAAACGTTTTAAAACGGTACCTATACTATTTGTATCTGCTATTCGCGTAACCTGTCGATTATCGATAACGCTCCGCCCCCTGTTGAGGCATCAATGAGGGAAATCGGTAGTTCCATATATCCGTGAATTACAGGTCCATACTGGTCCATACTTCTCGTAATACATGTATCGTACAACTACCGTACATCTTTTATGAATATCTCAACATTTAGCCTTTTTTATAAATTAAGAAATTGTCGGCCAATGTACGTAACATAATGTATGAAACATAAATAATTAAGCATAGTGGCAAAACGCACGACCACGGGGTTGATTAAAAATGTAGTTTGCTAAAATATCCATAATGTGTGAAAATAATTTGTCTGTCCCGTTAATCTGATAGATATTACATTGAGTTGATAGACTTTTGTACGGATTCAAGGGCTTACTTTACATTCAACCTCGTTTTCTAACAATGTCAAGTAAAAACAACAACAAAAACAGACAACATTTTTTATGTGAACGCCTATATGACTTGTGGTAAGGTGTCCCTGACAAATTTCTAAACCATTTTAGATTGTCTAAGGATGATAATTTCTCTATCACGGATTTATATTACTTATATGTAATATATATCCGTGTTCTCTATGAATAAAAAAAAGATATTAAAAGATATTTTAGTGAAAATAAATTGTTCGCCAGTAAATCGGACACAGTACTAATAAATCTGGGACAAAGTATGAAATTTATTGTCTATCCCGGTAGAAACTGGATCTTTATGCCGTGCATAGATGATATTCATAATAGAAGTCAAGAAGGCCAGATCATGATGATCGAGTAATACCTTTTATTTCTATTAAAATATGTGAAGCATTATCAATTTGGTGGAAAAAAATATATAATATCCCGTTCTTATTTGTACATCTACCATGGACTTTAAAAAGACTTTCAGAAGCTCAGTTTTTTGTTATTTTACTTTATATTTTAACGGAATTTCATACACGAATACACAGGCAGAGTGACACTGGTATAATACAATAATAATGCTGATGATAATAATAATAAACTTCAAAAAGGAAACAATTAAATACCCCGCTAGCGGTGCGTAAATGCATTCCATTCCCCCCCCACTGAGTGCCTCAAATTTTACCGATAGTCACATGTCATGTGCGACGACAGTAAATCACGTTAAGAATTGAAGAAATTTCGGCTATAAACTGATATTAATCAGCAGCTTTTTAATTGATCAGATGTCACTGGGTCATAAAATGTTGTTAGAGTATGTTACCGCAACTTGTGACCCTCTCTGGTGCGATATTTGTGTATTATGCAATTATTTAGCGTGAAACGTAGGGGTCCGAGAGAGAACAGCCGATTTATGACACTTCGTTTGATGCAGGTCGGACTAACTATGAATCGGCATAACTTTTTTAATAATCAAGCAATTAACATGCGGTTTAAAGCACATGAAAGGAAATTCATTTACGGAGGGAACCGTGTCAGGGATTTTTGTTTGCTCAATCAGCGACTTTATTATCTTTAATTACGTAATATTTATGGTGAAAAAAGTCGCATAAAATGTTTGATGTTACGTAATATTTTTTTGAGAAAAGATAGAAAAAATTTGAGACACGGTTCCCTAGATAATATAAGTAAGGTTATTTTCCGAAAGTTTGATGACAAAAAGATAAAAAATGACTTTGATATGACGATTTAAAATTTTAGGATTTTTATTCAAAATCAATAATTTACAAAGGCATTTTTTTCAAATATGTTATTTTTTATGATGATCAACGACATTTAATGTATAAAGATTAAATGAATAACAATTATTACTAAAATAACTTGGTTTAAATGACATTTATGTGAGTACCACGGAAAGTGTCTGTTGTCACCTTAATGTAGCTTTAAAGGCATTTTTGGGGTTATAATTAGATCTTTAGTAATGTACATAAACTTGAAATCCCTTTTAAAATGTGATATGCTCAGTTTTATTAGCTCGACTATTCGAAGAATATGAGAGCTATTGTAGTCGCCCTGGCGTCAGTGTCAGCGTCCGCATCGGCGTCCGCGTCGGCGTCTGCGTTGGTTAAAGTTTTTTGTAAAGTCAAATATCTCAATTATTACTTGAGATATTCAATTGAAACTTACAATACTTGTTTGTAGTAACAAGGTACATCAGATTGACAAGTTGGATAACTCTGCCTGCAATATTGACAGAATTATCCCCCTTTTTAACTTAGAAATTTTGGTTAAAGTTTTTTGTAAAGTCAAATATCTCAATTATTGCTTGAGATATTCAATTGAAACTTACAATACTTATTTATAGTAACAAGGTACTTCAGATTGACAAGTTGGATAACTCTGCCTACAATATTGACTGAATTATGCCCCTTTTTAAATTAGAAATTTTGGTTACAGTTTTTTGTATAGTCAAATATCTCAATTATTGCTTGAGATATTCAATTGAAACTTACAATACTTATTTATAGTAACAATGTACATCAGATTGACAAGTTGGTTAACTCTGCCTACAATATTGACATAATTATGCCCCTTTGGAACTTAGAAATTTTGGTTAAAGTTTTTTTGTAAAGTCAAATATCTTAATCATTGCTTGAGATATTCAATTGAAATTTAAAATACTTTTTTTAAAGTAACAATGTACATCAGTTTGCAAAATTGCATAACTCTGCCTGCAATATTTGCAGAATTATTTGCCCCTTTAAAACTTAGAAATTTTGGATAAAGGTTAAAGGTCTTCAAAGATATTTACTTGAAACTTTTTTACACATGCATTTAGGGTATTATAATTGGAGGGTCATAATTGTATGTCACTTACCAAGTTCCATAACTCTATCTTGCATTAAGGCTGATTCATAGCCCTTTTTCTATTTAGTCTCTTGGTTAATGTTTACATGAAAGTTTTACATATCTCAATAACTATTAAAGATATTTATTTAAAACTTCACATATGCATTTAGGGTCATAATTGTAGGTCACTGACAAAGATCCATAATTCTATCTTGCATTTAGGCTGATTTTTCTCCCCTTTTTCAACTTAGAAATTCATGGTAAAGTTTTGCTTGTAAGCTGTTATCTCAATAACTACTGAAGGGTTTGTGCCTTTTTTGGGACAATTTTATGCATTCATAATAATAAAGCAGTGATTAACTTGATAAAACATCTTAATAACAAGCCTTTGTACCTTTTCTGTCAAATTTATGTATTCATAGGTCATTAGTATTATTATACTCTATTATTTTAAAACACCCTTGTGACATTACCTTCCGAATAGTCAAGCCAATACTGTATAATTAGACTCTCTCTTAAAGGCCTATAACATGAATTGATAAAAAAAAATTAGCCCTTTTGTGAACTTAAAAAATTTAAAATTATCAAGGCTCTTTTACTATCAAGCACTTAGAATAGTCGAGCGTGCTGTCCTACTGACAGCTCTTGTTTTGTTTTGAGAAAGCACGTTGGTATAGCAACAAATGAATATTAAATAAGTAACAATTGAATCTGAAATTATTTGAATAATACAAAGAAAAGCTTCTTGAATCATTTAAAGATTGCACTATTACATTTGAAACATTTTTAGCTCACCTGTCACAAAGTGACAGGGTGAGCTTTTGTGATAGCTTTTCGTCCGTCGTCCGTCCGTCTGTCGTCCGGCGTCCGTCCGTAAACTTTTCTTTTAAATGACATCTCCTCA